TTGGGGCTGGATGATCTCTGAGCTCCATTCCAACCCTTAACTTACTATGACACTATGATCCTGTGGTGGGCTGGAAGGTCTTCAGGCTCAGAAATTTGGGGCTGTTCATCCTGGAGAACAGAAAGTTGTGTGGTGCCCTCAGATCCTCTTCCAGTGTCTGAAGGGGCTGCAAGGAAGTTGGAGAGGGAGTATTCATCAGGAATTGTAGTGACAGAACGTGGGGGAGTGTATACCCCTTAACATACTATGGAACTATGATATTGTCACCTTAAACTTCCTTCTCTTTCATTCCTTAGATCTGTGACATTGCCATAAACTGGGCAGGAGGGTTGCACCACGCCAAGAAGTTTGAGGTAATGAGGCAAATGTGTGTATTCCTCTGCTTTTGAGGCCTTGACTATGTGTTGATCCCACTCTAAAGCTGTCTGGGTTTCTGTGTCTTGCAGGCCTCTGGGTTTTGTTATGTTAATGACATCGTTATTGGCATCCTGGAGCTGCTCAAGTAAGGATGTGGGACCAGGGGATACTGTCCTGCCTGGCTTGTGCTTTCGCTCTGCTGCTTCACTGTTCTCCCTTTCTATTTTTCCCCTGATTTCCCTTTCTGGAGTCCAGGAAGCCCAAAAACTTGATGTTTTGTCCTGGTCACATATTTAGACAGAAGAAAGGGCTTGAGAACTGGAATATCTCACTCCAGTTTTGTTACATGAATCAATCTCCTTTTTCCTCCATCTGTGCCACACTCATGTCAGGCTCTCCTGAGCCTCAGCCTGTTGGGCACAGAGAGCCTTTGGGAGGGAAATGCTTGTTCTGGCTCACTGGAGACACATAAATGACTTCCAGTCTTTCTGGATTTGCTTGACTGGCTTGAGAACATGACTTGAGCTACACATGGATGATCAAAGGACACTTGTTCCCTGCAGAAAAGAGTCGGGTTGGGTTGGGTTTTAAGGAAGGAAAAAGAAATTGAGACTGGAAGAATTACAGAAATATCTTCTGTTTCTGGGTTTAATCTGTGATTTTTGAATGTATGTTTTTGAACTCTCAAGTGCTTTCCTTGTCCCTGAATCTGACACAAGTTTTTAGGGAATTAAAAAGGATTTGGAGTTGACCAGACAGTACTTACATGACATGACAGTCACATTTATGGCATGTCCTGGAATTTCTTCCATCTCCTTCCTCTCTGCCAGTGTGGAACCTCAGGATGTCCCTGTGGATCTCTGCACACCCATTTCCTAGTCTCCCATGAGTCCCAGACACCAGAGGCCTCAAACACAGCTCAGTTACCCCTCAGGGGATGTTATACTATGTCCCTATCCTATTGTTCCCAGTTTCCAGGAGCTATTTCTGCTGTATTTAGAGTTTGCCTCCCGCTATGGGAATACAGTGATGTCTCTGCCCTTAGCAGGTCCTTTTCCCAGTGTGTCAGGACTGTGTACATCCATCCCCCTCTTCTTCTTGCTGCTACTTGTCTTTGGGATGAACAATGTAAGGAATCCAAACAATTCCTGTCCCTCTTGGAAGTCTCAGGTCTGCTTAGGTCACCCCCAGCCAGTTTATCACATCCCTGCACACATTAAGCTCTGTTTCCAAGGCAGATGGCACAAACCCCACTCTGATCCTCTCTGTTTTGATGTTATCGTGTTGTTCCAGGTCCTCCCCCACTCCTTTATGGTTTTGGCATGGATCCCTTGTGTTTGGGGGCTGAGCAGATGTAGTTTTTCTTGTGAAAAGCTGGGGAAGCTCTTTCCAGCCAGTGATGGCTCAGGGCTGTCTCCAGTGCTCCACAGCAGCTTTGAGCATTTACTGGTGATCATCTCCTCTGCTTCCCCCTTTATCTTTGTGTCTCTGGCTGCTTTTCCAGCAAATTTAGTCCAGCCTGGAGTGTTTGGTGCTCACCAGTTGGGACACAGTGCTCCAGGCCTCTGGCACATGGAGGGAGTGAGTGTTCCTACCTCCTCCTTGCTTGCCTTGCACTTCCTGCTAGGGTTAAAACCATTGAAGCTATTAAATATTAACTAAGAGCATGTTGGAAATAAAAACCTGCAACTTCCTCATCCCAGGTGCTTCAGAAAGTTATTCTGTGTGGTGTCCAAGGCATTTCTGACTCCATCTGGAAACCTTTGGATCTAATATCTATTTCCAAGGACACCAGAAGAAAATGGTTTAAATATCAGTGTCCAAATCCATGAGAAAGCAGTTTAAATATTGATTTCCAAGCATATGAGAAGAAAATGGTTTAATGGTGAGGTGTGTCTGACTGTCTGCAAATGCCTTGTATCCCAAAGCTCAGGTGGTACTGGTTTTCCTGCTGTATTCCATAGGTACCACCCACGTGTTCTGTACATCGACATCGATATCCACCATGGGGATGGCGTGCAGGAAGCTTTCTACCTGACAGACCGTGTCATGACAGTGTCCTTCCACAAATATGGCAACTATTTCTTTCCTGGGACAGGTATGTGTTTGCCTTGCTAGTGGAATTGTGGCTTCAGGACCCTTTGGAAGCTCTGCTGGAGTGGAAAGGGGTAAAATCAGAGCTGCAGAGAGAAATGGGGGAGGAAAGTGGTAAGAGAGGAGCAAAACTGCAGAGATTTGTAAGAAAAAGGAATTCTTGCTAGGTTAAGAGTCTCATCCCAGCCCACATTTGTCCTTTCCACCTTGTCTGAGCTGTGGTGACTCTCCTGTCCCTGCAGGTGACATGTATGAGGTTGGTGCAGAGAGTGGTCGTTACTACTGTCTCAATGTGCCTCTCCGTGATGGCATCGATGACCAAAGTAGGTGTTCCTGCCATTTCCCTATGTCCAGATGTGTCCTGGAGCTCCGTTCCAGAGCCAGGACCAACCTGCCTTTCTCTCCAAAGGTTATAAACACCTTTTCCAGCCAGTCATTAACCAGGTGGTGGATTACTATCAGCCCACCTGCATCGTGCTGCAGGTAAGGAGGGAAAGCACACATCCATCCCTTTTGGAGGGTACAGTTTCCCTGTGTTCTCTTCTGTTCCTGGGGAAACAGGATTGGGACATATTGGAATGCAAAGCCAAATTCTCTTGTTTTTTATTCCCCAGTGTGGTGCTGATTCTCTGGGCTGTGACCGTTTGGGCTGCTTTAACCTCAGCATAAGAGGCCATGGGTGAGTACAGCAGGGCTGGGGCACACAGAGGCTTCCTGAGGGGCTCTGAGGAGTCTCTGCTCTGAGGTTTGGGCTTGGGCTTTGTCCTACAGAAGGTTTTGGGGTTTTTTTAAAATGTGTGTGTGACAGGAAAGTGTGTGAGAATGTAGTGTTGTACAAGGTGCTGCAGGGCAGTGGTTCAGAGCAGCACATGGGCACAGAAGATGCTCCAAAGGCTGCAGAACCTTTGCCATGGACAGGCTGAGGCCTAGGGGTGTTCAGCCTGGGGAAGAGAAGGCTCCAGGGAGACCCTAGAGCCCCTTCTACTGCCTAAGGGGGCTCCAAGAGAGCTGCAGAGGGACTTGGGACAAGCATCTGGTGGGACAGGACACACGGAATGGCTCCCCACTGCCAGAGGGCAAGGTGAGATTGGATATTGGGAAGGAATTGTTGGCTATGAGGGTGCTGAGGCACTGGCACAGGTTGCCCAGAGCAGCTGTGGCTGCTCCATCCCTGGAAGTGTTCCAGGCCAGGCTGGATGGGGCTTGGAGCAACCTGGTCTAGTGGAAGGTGTCCCTGCCCTTGTCAGGGGTGGAACAAGATGAGCTTTAAGATGAGCTTTAAGTTCCCCTCTAATCCTAACCACCGTGTGCTGATGATTCCATGGCTCAGGCTCCCTGGCTGGAATCCCTGAGCTCCAGGTAGGTCACACCATCCTTGGTGGTGTTTGAGTGCATTCCTGTCATGTGACTATGTGCTGCTCTAACAGCTCTGATATGGTTTTTGTCTGGAATTTGTAGGGAGTGTGTGGAGTATGTCAAGAGCTTCAACATCCCCTTGTTGGTGCTGGGAGGAGGTGGCTACACAGTCCGTAATGTGGCTCGGTGCTGGTGAGTCTTCTCTGCCTGCTGGTCAACCAGTTGATTACTGGTAACATGCACTGCTTAACCAGTTGGTTACTGGTAACCTTCACTGCTCAACCACTTGCTGTGGCTTTTGTCCCTGCATCCCCCATGTCCCTTTCACTGCACTGAACTCATCTTATTCCCTGTTTTCAGGACTTATGAAACATCATTGCTTGTAGATGAAGCAATCAGTGAAGAGCTGCCATACAGTGGTAAGTTGGAGTTCCCTTTCTTCCTTTTTAGCAGAGCTAAAATAGTTGTTATATTCTATTCTACATGGAATAGAATATCCAGGGCCAAAGTGACAACACTTTGGATTTTGGAGATGGTCTTAGTCACTCCAGGCCCTTATCTCAGGTCCCTCTCCATCTCTCTTGGAGCCCCATTAGGCATGGGAAGGGGCTCTAAGGTCTCCCTGGAGCCTTCTCCAGGCTGAACAATCCCAACCTCAAACATCCTTGGATCCCACCTTGCACTTGGTGCCATGAGGGTGCTGAGGCACTGGCACAGGTTGCCCAGAGCAGCTGTGGCTGCTCCATCCCTGCCAGTGTTCACAACCAGGTTGGATGAGGCTTGAAGCAACTTGGGCTAATAGAAGATGTTTCTGCCCATGGCAGGGGGTGGAAGAGATGAGCTTTTAAGGTCCTTTCTAGCCCAAATTCTGTATCTCCTGCCACCCACTTGTAGACCTTTCTGGGCAGACACATCTTTGGATCATATATCATTAGGATCATTTCCTATTCAGTGCCCTGAGTGTTGCTGTTTGCTCTGTTTTGCTAACTGCTTGAAGGCAGAGCTGTCCATCTGTGGTTTTTTAGGCCCTGCTCCCTCCTGCAGGTGTGAGGGTGAGCTCTGCTCCCTGCAGAGCAGCCCAGGCTGGTCCCACCCCTCTGTGCTCTAACTCTGCCTCCTTCTACCACAGAGTACTTCGAATACTTCGCTCCAGACTTCACCCTTCACCCTGATGTCAGCACAAGGATTGAAAACCAGAATTCTAGGCAGGTGAGTATTTGGAACTGTGTTGCAATATCAGCTCTGAACTTCCAGAACCCTCTGGTTGATGCTGTGAAACCAAGTAGAGATCAAGCAAAAGCAGGAAACTGACTTAAAACAACCACCACCTTTCCTCTGCCAAGCCAGGAGCATTTGAGACCTTCTCTGGGTTGTCTCAGTGTGCCAGAATGAATGATTGAATTGCCTCTCACCTCTTCTGCTCTGAAAATACTTTTCTGCACCCATTTCTGATGGCCACCACATGGGTGGTGCAGGCAGTGCTGACAGCTGGGGCTCTGTGTATACTGCCAGGTCTAACTGGGGTGATCCCTCTCTGTTTTTTCCATCTGTAGTACTTGGACCAGATCAGGCAGACCATATTTGAGAACCTGAAGATGCTGAACCATGCTCCCAGTGTGCAGATCCATGATGTCCCCTCAGACCTGCTCAGCTATGACCGCACAGATGAGCCTGATCCAGAGGAAAGAGGCTCTGAGGAAAACTACAGCAGGTACCAGAGCTCTGCTTCTGGAGAAATGGGGTTTGTCCATGTTGGGATGGGCAGGGGATACAGTGGAGGCAGTTTCCTAGAACACATACAAGTCATGGAATCAGAGTGGTTTGAGTGGGAGGAACCTTGAAGATCATCTTGTCCCAACCTTCTGCCATCGACAGGAAAGTCTCTTCTGAGACCTCGAACACCATGTTCCAACCCTTTTCATGGGCAGGAAACTCTGTTCTGAGTCTCTTCTGAGACCTTGAAGATCATCTTGTCCCAACCCAAAACCCCAAGTCACTTGTGAGTCTTTGGTGTTACCTATGGAGCCTCTAGAAACGTGATCTCCCATGGCATTCTACAGGGTGGACACCCTTGGGCTGTGGGAGCTGGGCATTCCCTGTGCCCCAAGGGTGCCAGGGTTCTCTCTTCTCACTGACAAGGATGTCTCTTTCCCCAGGCCTGAGGCTGCCAATGAGTTCTACGATGGTGACCACGACAATGACAAGGAGAGCGACGTTGAGATCTGAGGGCTATGCCCTGCAGGGTGTCCTGCCCTGGACATGGATGCTTGGAGCAGACAACTGGGCCATGTAGGAGCCAGTGAGCCCTCCCTTGTGTTAGATTGCATGTGGTGGCAGCAGAAACAACACCACTGCAGGTTTGTGATACCCGGAGAGAGTGAGGAAACATGTTCCTGACTTCCCACCACGTGTTCCAGCTGTTGCAACTCTGTGGAATGGAATCCATGCTGTGTCCTGGCTGGCAGCTGTGGGACTGCCTTCAGAGCCTGAGCCATGCTCCAGAACCCCCATAAAGGCTTATGCCAGCCAAGTGGGAGCTGGAGCAGCTGTGCCTATGATCTCTGCCTCTCTCCAGCACCACTGGATACATCCTGCTCTCCCAGCCCTCCATTCAGGTACCTAGTAATGGCCTCTGAAGGTCCTCTGAAGGTACACAGTGATGTCCTCTGAAGCCTGCACTGAGTTGCTTCCTGATGTCCCTTCTGATGCTCCACAGCTCCTGGAGAAGACAAGGCCAGTTGTGGGATAGGGGTTTGGGAATGTCCCTGGAGCAGGGAGCAGCTCAATGGAGGAGGATGGGAGGATGTATGCAGAGCATAGGCTTGTTCCTTCCCTCACACCTACATTTGCATTCAGAAATGAGTCTGTAACACTTTGGACCCAATTTCCCTGTTGTGTTTATTCTCTGAGAGGCTAAAACGACCGTGGAGCAGAGGTTTGGCTGCCAAGGTCAGGACAGAATATGTCCCACACCTCTAACTTAGCTTCCAGCTGCCTTTTCCAAGGTCCCACTTGGCCCTTGTGTGTGTTAGCAGAGATCTGGGCTGCTTGCTCCAAGGGGAAACCATTCCCTGTTGGCTGCCCCCAGCAGACATTTCTCTGCCCATGGGGGAGGGAAGCTGCTTCTCGAAGTCCTGTGTCCTTTTGCCCTAAGACAGCAGAGATTCCTCTCAGCCAGCCCTGAAATCCCACCCTTTGCTGTTCCTTCTCCCAAGCCATCACCTGGTACCTGCCCTGGTTTGGGGAGTTGGGGAGGGTTTAGCCTCTGCCTGTCTGTACTGTTCTGTTTGTTTACTGATGTCTTGAAACATTAAATAAGAGACAGTATTTTTCTTACCTGACCTGTTGTTTGTCTGTTTATTTCTCACACCTTTGTGGCTCCTGTTCTCCAAAGGATCAAGCCCATCCCTGGCAGGGTAGTGTCATCCACTGAATGAGTGAATGAGTGGAGGGAATTCATTTCAGAGTAAATGTTGGTGAGTTTTCAGCATCACTACACAGTGAGGAGAGTGGACTTAACTTCCTTAGAAGAGACCAAGTGGGTTGGACACTGCTTAGGCCTCTGAGTCCTGGTAAAGCTTTGCAATTATTACAAGTATCAGTTTCTTTGAGGTGCAGTGGCTATAGCAGCCTTAGACTTAGTCCATAGGCTGCTCCTTGCACTCTTCTTCTCCTAAAGCCCTTTTGGGGACTATATAGAGGAGCATGAACTACAGAACAGGGGCTGGACAAGGGCATGGAGTGACAGGACACAGGGAATGGCTTCCCACTGCCACAGGGCAGGGATAGATGGGATATCTGGAAGGAATTCTTCCCTGTGGGGATGGTGCTGAGGCACTGGCACAGGTTGCCCAGGGAAGCTGTGGCTGCTCCATCCCTGCAAGTGTTCCAGGCTAGGTTGGTTGGGGCTTGGAGCAACCTGGGCTAATGGAGGTGTCCCTGCCCAGGGCAGGGGTTGGGACTGGATGCTCTCTGAGGTCCATTCCAACACCTTAATATGATACTATGATTCTGTGATGCACTGAAAGGTCTTCAGGCTGAGAGAGTTAGGGCTGTTCATCTTGGAGAAGTGCAAGTTGTGTAGAGACCTCATAGCAACCTTCCAGAGTCTGAAGGGAAGCTGAAGAGGGAGTATTCATCAGGCACTGAGTGTAGATTTAGATAGGATATTAGGAGGAAATTGTTCCTTGAGAGGGTGGTGAGGCACTGGCATAGGTTGCCCAGAGAAGCTGTGGCTGTGCCCCATCCCTGGCAGTGTCCAAGTCCCCACTGGGGATGTTATTTCCATCTTTTTTTTTCCATATTTTTCCCATATTTTTGATTTCCATACACTGTGTCCCTGGGCACTGCTGTTCTTGGACACCAGGTGGCACTTGGATCTCTGGGATTACATGGAGACTCCATGGCCCTGTGTGTGCAGAGCCTGGCAGGGGGAACTGCAGCCCCTAGATTGGTTTTGGGGGGAGCAGAGTCCTGGCTGTGCTCTCACAGAGGTCTGAGGGTACTGCAGCCCCTGCAGAGCCTGGCAGAGACAGGTTTGTAGCCATTTGTCACCAGCTGCAGAGGAGCAGAGCTTGTTCCTGCTGCATATCTGTCCCTTTCTTGCTGAGCTTCCACATGGCCCAGCAAATCCCTGGGCACCAGAGTGGCCAGGTTGGCTCTGCCCTTTCCCCACACTCACTGCCATGGCAGAGCAGCTTTCAAACCCAGGGATTCCATCCTGGGGGACAATGAACCTTCTGTCCTAATTACTTGTAAATATTCACATAAATGACATTTTCCCCTGTTTTACATGACTCTGTCCATGCTGCAGCAGAGCTGAGCTGTGCCCCACGGCAGGACTTGCTCTGGCTGTGTTGATCACACAGGGTAGTCCAGGTGCCTCAGATGGCTGCTCCAAAACACTTATTCAGGAGCCTGCTTAGAGTTGTTATCCATATGAAACAGCCTGTGGAAAAGTTCCTTCTGTATTTAGCTGTTCTATTTTCTGGTAGTGTAATCTAGAGAGGCAGGAGGGAGTGATAGCGAGTGATCAGTGAATGATTTGGCTTGAAAGGACCATGGGCAGGTTGCTCCAAGCCCCATCCAACATGGCCTGGAACACTTCCATGTTTGGGGCAGCCACAGTTTCTCTGGGTAACCTGTGCCAGTGCCTCAGCAGCCTCACAGGGAAGAATTCTTTTGCAATATCCCATCTAAATCTATCCTCCTTCAGCTTAAAACCATTCCTCCTTGTCCTGTCACTCCAGGCCCCGATGAAGTGTCTCTCTCCTCCTTCTCTAACAGCCCCTGCATTAGCCCCATCACTAGCTCCTGTCACTGTCTCTGCTTGGTAAAAGTTCCTTTGTTTTCAAGCACAGCCTTAATGAATTGAGCTTAGCTTTAGTCCAAACACCCTCATGGTACAACATTTCTTATGTCCAGTCTAAACCTGCCTCTTCCAGCTTGTTCCTTCTACTGTCACAGCAGGCTCTGATAAGTCTCTCTCCACCTCTCTTCTAAGCTCCTTCACATATGGAAAGGCTGTAATAAGGTCTCCTGGAGCCTTCTCTAGGCTGAACATCCCCAACTCTCAACCTCTCTCCCAGCCCTCAGACCATTTCTATGGTCTCCTCTGGACCTGCTCTAACAGATCCATGTCAGTCTGTACTGGGGATCCCAGGTCTGGGTGCAGTACTCCAGGTGGGACTTCAGCAGAGCAGAGGGACAATCCCCTCCCTTGATGTGCTGCCCACACTGCTGGAGATGAGCCCAGGAGACACTTAGAATCGTAGAATCAACCAGGTTGGAAAAGACTTCAAAGATCATCGAGTCCAATCCTACTTTCATGCCCAGACCATGGCACTAAGTGCCACATCCAGTCTTGTCTTGAAAACCTCCAGGCATGGTGAATCCACCACCTCCCCAGGCAGCCCATTCCAATGCCTGCTGTGGACCAAAACCAAAGTCTCTTGAGACTGAAACTTTGGGGTTTAATGACCATACTTCCTAGTGCTGTGGAGCAGCTCACAGAATGTCTGTTCCTGGTTCTCTTCACCCTCCAGGTGCTCACAGATGCATTTGTATCATCCCATGTGCTCTTGATTCCCAGGATGCTGTGGCATCACTTCCTCTTGCTCATGGATGTGTTGCTGCTGGAATGGTGGCACAAGTGTCTCCTCTAGCCAATACGTCCCTCTCTTTTCCTTGTGCATCCCAGTGTTCCTAGCTCTGTCACCTCTCAGGTGAGGCCTTTGGGATGCTGCAGCTGTAGCTCTTCTCTTCCTGCATCCATCCCTGCTGTGCCAATGATGGCTGAGAAGTGACAGTGAACAGGGACAGAAACTTCTCTCTTTCTCTGTTGCTTGGGAATGTTTTTAGTCTAAGTGGAGAAAGCTGACCACAAACCATGGAGCTGGGAAAGCCAAAAGTGTCTGCTGAGGAGAACAGATTGGGGAGATCAGCAGAACAAGGTCCTTCCAGCATCACAGGGTGATTTGGATTCAGAGTCCCCTGGAGGTCTTGGGTCCATCCATCCTACTCCAAGTGAGGCTAACCCAAAAGTCAGGGATTGCTCAGGGCATTTTGGAGTCTCTTCAAGCACAGGAATTTCCTCAGCTCTCCTCCACATAACTGAACTCTTTTCTCTGGTGTTCAACCATCCTAGTGAAAATAGTCTCCTCACACAAGTCAGGATTTCCCTGTTTGAAGATCATGGCTGTCATCCCTTTACCCTCTCCCTGCTCTTCCTTCTTTCTCCTGGTGTTGGGAAACATACCCTAACACTATCAGAGGCTTTAACAAGGCTCTGGGAGCAGTGCAGGTGGGAAAATGAATGTTCCTTTGCTTTCTGAAGGATGCAAAACCTGTTGGGAGAACTTTCTCCCTCAACCTTGTAAGCATTTCATCTCTGCAGGACCCATGGGGTACCCACTCTCTGTGCCATGCCCCAGGGGAGGGTTTTGAGCCTGTCTCTGGAATTCCTGGGAACTGGAGTCACTCCTCATCTCACACATGCAGTGTATAAGCACAGGTAGAGTGTTGGCTGCTTTGGGAGCTGTTTGCACATTCCCTCTTTCCCACCTGTGTGTATCAGAGCCTGGAGAGAACAACCTCCCACCTCACACACTTCCTGTGGATTTTAGCAGCAGTTTTCATCTCTCAACAGGCAATGGTTTCTTGGACTGCCCTTTCCTGATATTTTAGGGCAAGCAGCACTTTCCTGCCATTGCAGTACCATCCCTGAG